TCTCATGCTTAGAAGTTGATAACAATTTGTCAGGGGTTCATGCTTTCTGGGAGAAAAAACCCACATTGGTGCCACCACTATCCTTGCAAGGGTGACACCAGATAAGAGCCCAACGGGGAGAAAAACCACAATTTGACGGGGGAAAAAATATTTTTAAAATAATGTATAATTTTTTTAAATAATTTTTTACATATTAGACTAAAATCAATTAAATAAGCTGAAACCCCTAAATTGTCATAGTTTTCGGGAGTTTCACCCCCCTGGACAATTTCCAAAAGATTATGAATGATGCCCCCTTTGCTCTTGTCATGGACATGCCTCTCTCCGGGTCATTGGAACCCCCAGTTGGTCAAATCTTGGTGCCACCCCTGTATCCTTAAGCAATAAACTGTAATCTGTGGTATACATTTTTCATCATTCTGCAGTTAATTGTGCTGAGTAGGATGTAAATTCTCTGTAATACGTGTACATGTAGATGTCTCAGCGCTTAATTTACAGCATCCTGGCTAATGGTCCCAGGAAGCAGCAGAGTTTGCACGTGATGAAATCCTATTTATGCATCCAACGTCCGATATGGGGTAATAATACGTGCAGTGATCTACATTAATTACCTATTTAAAGCACATATATTCTCTCATGGCATTATATGCTATCATAAAATTTGCCATATCATCATCATTATCATCATCATCATCAGTATTACTACTACTATTGTTAATTGCTGTTTTTATTAATATGCAATATCGTTTTAATCATCGTTAGTAGTATAGCTACATAAGTACAAAGATAAATCTGTAAAATCTATGAGATTATTAATACATAATTACAAAAGTGTTAGTACTGTTTATTTCCTTGTTTATATTGGTGGTTGTTTTAATAGTGAAGCACTCTACATAAAAATGCTGTTGGTGTAAAATGTGTTTGTAAAGAATGATATAAATGATCAAAATAATAATAATGAATATTATTATTATTATTATTATTATCATTATTGTTATTGTTGTTATTATTATTATTACTATTATCATTAATGTCATTATTATTGTTGCTGTTGTTGTTGCTGCTTACAGAAGAAAGAATGTTAATATATAGATGATCAAAATAATAATAATGAATATTATTATTATTAATATTATTATTATTATTATTATTATCATTATTGTTATTGTTGTTATTATTATTATTACTATTATTATTATCATTAATGTCATTATTATTGTTGCTGTTGTTGTTGCCGCTTACAGAAGAAAGAATGTTAATATATAGATGATCAAAATAATAATAATGAATATTGTTATTATTAATATTATTATTATTATTATTATTATTATTGTTATTGTTGTTATTACAGAAGAAAGAATGTTAATATGTCAGACATGAAATTGGCTTAAATCTAGACCATTCATTTGGAAAGTATGAGTATTAACATCCAAGATAAAGATTTATTTATAGATTCTCTAATTATCATCTATTCATACATTATATTGCTTTCTTGGGCCCAATTAACAATAATGTAAGTCAAAGTAAAAACTAGTCATCAGTTTTTTTGTATATTAATGAATCAAAATGAAGGTAGGAACTTGATCATACAGTTTCTTCTGTATCTCTGTTCATTATTGAAATTATTCAAAAATTGGGGAATCGTAGTTGCTAGTTGAATTGATTAAATTGACATGATTGATTGATTGATATGTTTGATATATATTTTTAATTGCCATTATAAGACATTAAAATAAGTATTAACAAGTTCAAAATATTCAAGGAATTTAAAAATACAATGAAAACATTTCACTTTAAATCATAATTATGAAATACCATGAAAACAAAAATATAACCTTTTAAGCCTAGATGGGGCTTGTTTACAGGAAGGATCCTTAGAGGAAAAGGGGAAGGAATGTAGATAAAACTCACATGAGGCGAGACTTTTTTTTTATATATATATTGTTTAGTGAACCTGCCCACCGCCAATAATGGTGAATTTGAATAAAAATAAAATTTTATTTTTGGCCAGCTAGCACACCCGCCACTAAGAAAGATTATACATTTCATGAAAAAAAAAAAAAAATATTTATTTTTATCATGCCCTCTGCTCTCCTGAAATCTCCAAAAATATTAAGATGTGTATTTCTACCTTAATTATAAATTTAAAGCATTTATCAATCTCATTACTACACTGTTTAATTCATTATTAACATTTTATTTTTATTTTCTCCTGGATGGATTTGACAAAATCATTTTACAAAATGAGAAAACAAAATCTTTTTTTTTTTTTCGCCCTTCTCTGACAGTGACAAATCTTTAAAAAATTAAGTTCAGGAAACAAAGTATAAAAAAAAGACTCGCATAAAAAGACCATAAACACAATCTAATGATGGTTCTTGAGCATTATTTTGAATATGAATATTGACCTTGATCCAAATGACGTGCAGTTAAGAAATAGGATTCTACATTATTATTATAAGGAAATGTGAATTACACATTCCAGTACTGAACACATTGTAGGAAACATTCCGGAACTCAGGGAATTCATTCCATTTCTGCATAATCAGTTTATGTAATGTAATTTTTTTGAGAGCCTTCCTTGTCTGCATTATTTCTTACTCTTTAAAGCCCATATTTTGTCTAGTCTCTTTTCAAGACAGCTTTCGGTGATGCTAATTGGTCGGTCGAATCGGGGAGCCCTCCTGATTGCTTCGGGGACTACTACACAGTACAGTGATTGCACAGAAAACACTGTAGCGAGAGTGTAGCGATTTTATGGAAACCAGGCTTAAATGTCAGTCAATTAGAATGTAGAAATGATATACCTGATTGTTGTGTGTGTAATCATCAGATACAGTATTGGTTGTATTTTTCTTAATACAAAAGTATTAACATCCAAGTTTGAAATATAATAGGTACTAAAATCGCAACTTGCCTCCTTGTTCATGCAGAATAATTTATCATTTTTAAAGATAACAATCAATACAATTTTTAAGATCTCCTTTTTTTCTATATTGTTTCTATAGAAAACACTTTAGTCCTGATTTTGGTCCTGAGGTATAGATTTACATGTATACATTTTAATTTTGTTATTGTTTCATAACGAAGGCCATGATGAGAATAATATTGTCTTTCTTATTATTAAATTAATTTTATATTTGCCTACTATTATGTTTTCTCTCATATTCAGTAATATTGTTCTTGAATTATATATAGAAATTAGACTTTAGACCTTAAACATGACAACCTTGGCTGGAACCATTGTGTCTGTTTATTCCTTAGCTTTAGTTATTTAAAACTTGCATTGGTTACTATATTTCTATGCAAACAATACAAGATCATTATTAACATGTATGAAAATAAGAAAGTATAATACATACTCCAATTATTGAAATACACGCCATCGTGTTGGGATTCGATACTTGGAGTATGTATTATACTTTCTTATCCGAGATTAATCAGTGGACCTTTCAGTTTATGTATAAAAAAATAGTGGAAATTGTAAATTGATTTATTATCTTGTCTGTATTTGTAGTATTGAATGAGTTTGGTGATATAGATTTTAAATTACAATGTATTACCGTCTGTATTAGTGTTATTGTACAACTGCAGTGAGGTAGATTGTAAATTGTAATGTATTAAATATTAACTAGGTAACTTATTATCATATGAATCCAGTGATTTAGATTGTAAACTGTAATGTATTACAGTTAACTATCAGTGGCTACACTTGTTTGCAAATGATTGATCTTCTTTTCTACATGAATAGCTAATTTTTCTTTCTTTTTTCTTTGGAAAGTAAATATTTAAAGGGAGATTAATGCAAAATATATAAATCTTATGTTTGCTAAGTATAAATTAATCATTGTCAGATCCAAAATAAACTTTTTAAATTTCAGTCTTGATAAAACAAACCAAAAATACTTGTTGTTTTGCCAAAGAACAGTGTCATTTAGAAATCACAGTCAGTCTGTCAATATGGTTTTTTTTTTTTTATTAACTATTGGCTTAGCAGTAATTCTAGTTGCTAAGTGTCAACCATCACTCTATCCCATGAATTTTGATTGATGAAATTGTAACCACAGAGCTGTAATTCAAGTTCGGGTATCAAATGTATTATTCAAAGTTTGAAAATTGATCTTTTTAAAGACTGGGGCAGATGCGGGGGTGCAGACCCTTTCCCTCCCCACCCCACCTTGAATTGTAATTTGAAAAACAATTTTATTATATTGTTGATATAATATTTTTATCATTATGAACATAGTACTGGTAAGATTTTTAAAGTATGAGAGTGCAATTTCCGGGCACTTAGAGGTCCGTTTTCTCAACTCAACTCACCCCCAACCATGCTGGAGCTGAGGTAGTGTGGATTGTCACGCACCCCCTACCGCCAAATCCTGCGTCCGCCCCAGAAACATACACTTATTTAAAACTCCTTTGGCAAAAAGAAGGGAGGGGAAAGCTATGTTTTCAGCTTAATTTTTTTAGCCCACTAAGGCACTTTTCTTGTGGTGTTGCTCAAACTCTTGTATTCAAATGTTTGTTAATAAAAAAAATAGTATACAGAAATGAGATATATAGTACCGGAAGATTATTGATGAAATTGTAACCACAGAGCTGTAATTCAAGTTCGGGTATCAAATGTATTATTCAAAGTTTGAAAATTGATCTTTTTAAAGACTGGGGCAGATGCGGGGGTGCAGACCCAGAAACATACACTTATTTAAAACTCCTTTGGCAAAAAGAAGGGAGGGGAAAGCTATGTTTTCAGCTTAATTTTTTTAGCCCACTAAGGCACTTTCCTTGTGGTGTTGCTCAAACTCTTGTATTCAAATGTCTGTTAATAAAAAAAATAGTATACAGAAATGAGATATAGTACCGGAAGATTATTGGTGCATTGGGTAGGTAACAGTGTTTATGTTGGCTTGTGGTAACCAGATCTTGTTTAGTCTGACAAAATGTACTACGAACTGTATGTGTCTCTAGCATAATTACTATCTGCATTCATTTAATTGTAGGCCTTTCTGGATCTCACCGCGCCAAGCAATGGTAATCCCTGTGAATCCAGCACTTAATGATTATGCCGTGCAGGTCAAGGAAGAAATCTATGATGCTGGATTCTGTTGCGAAGTTGACATTGATGTTGGGGACACCATGAACAAAAAGATTCGGAATGCCCAGCTTGCCCAATTTAACTTCATTCTTGGTAATTTTTTTTTTTTGTAATGTAACACATTAAAACCATGTATAGTAATATCTAAGACACCAGTCACCTGAATGACACATTGTGAAGCACATAGTCTTTGGCATGATGCACTATATAAGACGCACATGATATTATTATGATCAAGATCATAATGATCGTTATCATCATTATTGTCGTCATCAACATCATCAATATCATCATCAACATTATCATAATCATTTTCATTATTGTCATCATCAACATTATTATCATTATCTACATCTTCAGCATCATTACCATTATCATAATCGTTATTCTAGGACAGATCACAAGATGATTCTATCATTGGCCAAATCAGAGTCAGCTCCTTAATAAAGAAAATTTACATAGAATGAAAGACAATTAAAAATGAGAATTGAGTAGCATTTGAATGTTTATCCTTTTGTGGCAGTCTCACCAGCTATATCATAATTTATTCTAAGCCCACATGCATGCTTACTAGTAAATTCTTTGGCACGGTAATGGTAATTGTCTTCCATTTCTAAGTGCACATTACAAGTCCCTGCGCTTGCTGGACTAAGTGTTAAAGACAAAGAAAAACAAACCGCAAAAATATAGATATAATTGATTGAAGCCAGCAATTCTACATGCTGTGTAGCGAGGTGAATTGTGGAATTTAATAAACAATAGAAACTTGTAAGAGGGCTTTTTGAATTATTATTATTACTATTATTATTATTATTATTATTGTTGTTGTTGTTGTTGTTGTTGTTGTTGTTGTTGTTGTTGTTATTATTATTAAAGAAAATTATTAGTTAGTAGCAAGGTGAATTGTGGATTTTAATAAACAATAGAAACTTGTAAGAGGGCTTTTTGAATTATTATTATTATTATCATTATTATTATTATTATTATTATTATTATTATTATTATTATTGTTATTATTATTATTGTTATTATTATTATTATTATTTTGGCCAACAAAATGGGTGGAGGGAGAAATATTTTGGCACCAACCAAAAAAGTAGTTTGGTATAAATCCCCCTAAAAATCTAAGCTTCATTAAAACTCTATAAATTGTTCATCCAAATGCATGGAAAATTGTTTTATTTGTGAATATGCACAATATCGTCATGGCGAGGAGCTACAGCCTATCCTGGCATGGTGGCGCTCTTGCACAATCTGGCAGCCATTTTGTAGCAGATCGGATGCAAATGCTCAATTTATTTTTTTGCTTTTTTTCATGTAGCATTCTATTATAAATCTGTGAGCTTTGATTGGCCAGTATACAATGTGTGAGCACATTGAGCACATTATCCAGTTATCTTGATTAATTATGCAATAAGGTGTTGATTGCAATATATCTCATGACCTCTGACCTCGATAATCATATTAGAGAATTGCATAAACAGCATTCCCATTAGATGAAGATTTTGTTGATTATGTATCTTTCAGCAGAGTGACCTCATGATGTATTTGAGGTCTGTTGTTCAAATCCAGAAATAATTTACATATTTATTACCATTCCCAAGGAATGCTCAATAGGGAAGCGGTTATTATTTATTCTCATCAAACAGCCAGTGTTACAGGATGCAAGCGACGCTTTATTAACCAAGTCTTGATATGAGCTTTACCGAGTGGATTTGTAATTAGTTGTGAAAATAAAAATTGTGTAATTTGGAGGATTTGAAAAAAGCAAACAAACAAGAATTTTAACTGTATACAAAAAGTGGGGTGCACTGCTGCAACTTAAATTTAACCCCCTAGTGTAAACACAAGAACAGTGATATATTTTTACCAGGTGCTAATTGTCGGAAATGATCTCAATATATATATATATATAATATATATATATATATATTAATTATTTAATAGAATTGTTTAACCTGTACTTCAATCAGTAGCAATATATGTGTCCATAAACATGTTTTTTAAACATTTATATATTTATTTGGATTTTAGTTGTTGGCGAAAAGGAAGCAACGAACAAAACAGTGAATGTTCGAACCAGGGACAACAAGGTTCATGGAGAGCGTGCTATTGCCGATGTCATTAAGAGGTTTGCTTTCTTGAAAAAGGAGAAACTACTAAAAAGTGAAGATGATTTCTAATTTGAACCAACTCGATAAACCAGATTAGTTAACACCTGGCTGTGATTTATGTCAGATTTAATGTCCATATCTTTCACCATATATTATTTATATATTGCGAGGGGTGAGAAATTACTAAATGCTGAAGGATGATTTCTGAGTGAATCAGCCCATCTCATAATAAATATTGATGATGCTTTTCCATGAGAGACACAATTTTTATATCCATATTTTACCAGGCACCATTCCATGTTAGGTATTAGGAATAGTCCTTTTACTGTTTCTATTTTCTTCTGCAAATTTCATCTGAATCTCAATCCTGTTATAATCGTGATGGAAGTCTACTGGATGAATTCCTTTGGTTGTGACTAAAAGTTCGAATTTACTATGAGACTGGTGACCCCATGTCTTCTTTAATACCATAATAATTCCAGCATATTTGCAGACACATTAATGTAAAATGTATCATTCGTCTACTTTACTGATTTGGTATAACATTAAATCTTACCTACCAAGGTCAGTGTTATTATGGAACTGTTTTTAGATACCCAAATATCCAGGGAGGCAAGACTTTTTTCAGTCAGTAACATCAATGGTAAAAAAAATGCAAACAACAATTCAAACAAAATGTTTTATTGTTTAATTTGAGTCATTGGTGATTAACCCTACTATCACTACCTGTGTATAATCTTGGCAGGCTTCCTAAAGAAAATATTTAACAACATGGCATATTTTTTATATTTTTGTGCAGTTATGTTGTTTTGCCTTGGAACGGCCTGATATTTGTAGAGAAAAATGTAACATAAAATTCAACGGATTTAATCACTAGTTAATGGTTTCTTGAACAATGCAGGATAGATTTCATTCCTACTGGATGGATTCCTATCAAGATAAATTTATCCATATTGCCTTTTACAGGCTGCTGTATTTCAAGAACAATGTAACATGAGTTTAAGAATAGAAATACATAAATTCATCTGTAAACTACAATTATATGTAATACAGTAAGTGTTTTGATTCATTTTAATGTTGTGAGTAAGCAATCCTGGCCATCTGTTATGCTAATAGATTTCCATCAGAATATTCTCAGAAATATCCTAGACAATTGTCTCTGATAAAATGCGTTAGTAGTTGTAAACTCCTTTGTTAATGTTTCTCATTCTCATTGGCTGATTCATGGTGTGATGGGTTTCCCACTTGCCCAGGCCCCCTAACTTTAAAAAAATTTATTTACAAAAATTGAAAAAAAAGAAAATTAGATTGTAATTTAAGTCTTTGAGTGCCATTTCTGGCCATCTAGAGGCGCCACAATAAAAATTATGTTTGTGTACTCTCTAGGTGTGAACGTTCCTCCCTGGGACCCCTTCTATTCCAAATTCCTGGATCTGCCACTGATTCTTACGTAGTCACATGGTAGTCTCATATTTCTGTACATTATAATGGACAGTGACATCACAGCCAATCACAAATGGATGTTTACATTTTTAACAAGTGTATAATTATTCAGACTCACCTAAATTGCCTTGAACTAGCAGTCTAAACTACAGGTGGTAAATGTCTGTTATACTTATCCTTAGATTAATCAAACATTTTTATTGTTATCAGTGTACTTAATTTTTTTCCTTTCAACAATTTGACTAAAGGCATTAGAATATGTTTGTAGTATTTTCTATTATGTTTTTGAATTTTGGGCTTAGGCAGAGATAACATTTTAGTTTATGTCAAACAACATAAAAGTAGTTTGAAAATAATATATAGAATTTTTTTTTATATATTAATTTCATATAAAAATGTGTTTTTCTTGGTACATTATAGTACTATGAATTTATTTTTTTTTTCCTCATAAAATTATAATTTTGGTTTTTATTATTGTTATTTATTATTTTCTGAATATGTTGTTGGTTTTCAAATATAAATTAATTAGCTACTTTTCGTTTTATTTTTAAATTTCAATATCAACTCAAGATCCGCTATAATTTTAGAAATCCAGTACATTATGTCAAGACTATTCAAGACATTAACAAACATTTTGGTGTTGCCTTTGTTAGTGATTTATTAATTATTCATATTTTCCTTTATTTATGGTTAGATATATTATACTTGATTGTTATCCTCATCATTTATGTACTGCATTGGCTGCTCCGTCATGTTACACGTTTATGCTCAATTTAATTGGCGTATTTATAAAGGATATATTATCAGTCGGATCCGTTTTAAATATACACCTTTCATTAAATACAGTCAGTCGTGCAAGATAAGCACAGGATAAATCCGGTTTGATTTACAATCCTTTTATTTCTTTGGTTTTAACGGTTGAAAGTCCCGTTACATGTAGATATATTGGCGAACTGCTTGAACTTGCAATAAAATTACACTGGAGTAAATTGAATAATTGTGTTATTCGTTATCTTATTTCGTAATGGAGCTTCGCTCATAAAAAAGAGGGGAGAAAATAGGTGAGAATTATTATATAACTTGGTTACCTTACATTTTTTTTTTTTTTTATAAATATAACCAATTCTGTAGGAAAGTCTGGGGTCAATTGGTCATGTCTTTGAAAATCATTTACCAAACGTAAAGATACTGTCAGTAAAATGCTAAAACCCCATATAAATTCAATTAAAACGGGAAATAAATAACTTGATTCAAGAAAATAAATTTCCAATGAATCGGGACATCGAAACAATTTAGTTTCAACTGATTTTGTACAAGATTTAATCTGATTGCCACCAGCCAATTCTATGCAAAGAGTGTAGTAATGATATGCGTCATTTATTTTGTGGGAAAAAAATGCTTTTCCATTCAAACTTTTGATTAAAAGCTAATAAATATCTTAGATATAATTCCTACAAAGCAAGTAATTCAAACATTGAATTATATTTTTCAAGATTTTGTATCTCTACTCAGTACAGACATTATTGATTACTTGATTGATGAAAATATGGCGATTACATAACATTGATTATACTTTTTGTAATATTCTTGTGGTAAAGATGGTTAAGCATGGTAATGGTAATCAGGATGACGATGACCGAAGCTCTCAATGAACACAGAATAATCATATATAGAGAAAAAAAAATATTGTATTTTTTTCTCTCAAAAATCCGTAACTTTGAGTGCATTTGAGAGTATAAAAATCATGACACAATTGATAATGATTACATTACTGATGTGATGAAGTTAGTGGAATCGTGATATGGTGAAACGGATGAGAGTGAGATGATGTCTGGTTAACGTTTCGAGTATTTAAATTTGCAGTATTTTACATTGCTTTTCTATATGTCTGACACAGACATGGTGAAATTTTCATCTCTTGTTTGCCTCGTGACTCAAAACTCAAATATGTGTACTCGTTAGAGCTTGTTTTAGCACCAATAAATCTGAAAATAATATATATGAAAACCCGACCTGTATATTTCCACGTTTCACAGTGCTTGCAATTTTAGTCAACAGTCCACTTCAACTAATACTATAGCAACAAATTGATGTTTTGATAAACTTTGCCATATTGGAAAAAATTGGGCCAATTAATGCTGTTTTTTTTTCTATGTTAAATTAGAGCGAGTGTAGGATGCGACGATGTAACAAAGTTACGGTGTAACAGGTTTTTTTTCCATAATGTTTACGTTTGAACAGGATATAGAGTATGCATGGATTAACGTTGTCATGACCTAATTACGAAGCTGCTTTGTTTACCTGTAGGATTCCACTCGTGGTTTTCAATTGAATCGAATCTACTTGCCTCTTTAAAATTTAGCGTGCGATTGCGCAAGTCGTATGCAAATATTTTAAGACAAATTGCTATCAGGCGTAAAATAATGCACTTCCTCGCTTTCATTTTTATAGCTGTAATGAACTTTTCCTCTGAGTGTCAACCCGGAAGTCAACAACTGGCCAACCAGAGCAGAACCAGGATGTACGCTCATGTCCCACAAAACACACCTGTTATTCCAAAACGCACGTATTTACGTACTATACGTTTACGCTGTCGTTCTGTAGGAACTTAGTAACAACCAGGGGCGGAGGTTAGCGAAAATGTCTCATTATCATAATCATCGCCATTTCCAATAGGCCCCTAATCTTCTTCGAGTCACTATTTTCCAATATTGCTCTCAACATTTTGCTTATTAATATCATGTGATAGCTTCAGCTGTATATAAAGGAATGTGATGGCATGATATCAACGCAGCCGAACGCTTTCGTTTGTGAACTCATAAATCCGCCGCCAGACAAAAATTAAGGTTGAGGCCTAATTGCCGATTGGCTTGTTTATAATACCGAATTTAATGTAATAGCCTACGCTTGCGCATAAGATACCGGCATTTCATCTCAATCTTTTCCCGTGATTTTACTAAAAATAACAGAACTTAATACAAGTAAATGTCAATACCAGCATGTGACTATACGCAATGACGTCATGTATATGCCCCTCAAACCCTCGCGCCTCCTATAAACACAAATACTTAAAAATTTAGTCAATTTAATACTAACACAGCAAGAATGATATTAACCCAGAAAAATTAAACCTTGCTGTCCCTGTAACTTGTAACCGAAATACATAAAGGGAATAACCTAAAAATTACGAGAACATAGATATTCCTATTCACATAACGACAATAGACTATTACGGTATATTATATACTGACGCGCTCACATTATTAAATTATACCAATGTATATATACAATA